CTGGAGAGCATCTGTTGCCAATTCTGCCAAACCATTTCTGTGCCCGTTGTTGTACCAAAGGATACAGCTTTGCAGCTCTGAGTGATACTTTAAATTGAGCATAAATCTGCATTCTTTTCTCTTTCCCTGGTGAAATGAACCAGTGGAGACTTTTTTTTTTTTTTTTAACAAATTAACTAACTTTTTAAAGATACATAAAGTAATATATGCTTATAATTAAAATATTTAAACAGTATAGAGAGTGAAGAGTAAAGACGTAATACTGGTCTGACAGAGACTGGAGAAACCCCAAGAATATGGCCCCCAGACTCCCTTTTAGCTCAGTAATGAAGTCACTCCCGAGGTTCACCCTTCAGCCAAAGATTAGACAGGCCCATAAAACAAAATGAGACTAAAAAGGCACACCAGCCCAGGGACAAGGACTAGAAGGTAGGAGGGTACAGGAAAGTTGGTAATAGGGAACCCAAGGTCGAGAAGGGAGAATGTTGACATGTCATGGGGTTGTTAACCTATGTCATAAAACAATATGTGTACTAATTGTTTAATGAGAAACTAGTTTGTTCTGTAAACCTTCATCTAAAGTACAATAAAAAAAGAAAACAAAATTATAGGTTTAACAATACCTGAAAACAAAAAGAGTAAAAGACTTAGCAAAACAATAAGTTCTTGTATTCATGATCCTAAATTTTAACATCACAAATCTATATTTTTTTATAAATGCATAGCATTGGGCTTGGAGAAAAATATCCACATGTTGGTAACTAACTGTAAATCTTTGGAGAGAGGAGTTTGGGGAAAGAGGAATTTTCACTTTTTATAAACTTATAGGGAGGCCTGGTGGTGCAGTGAAGAGCTCAGCTGCTAACCAAAATGTTGGCAGCTTGAACCCACCAGCCACTCTGCCAGAAAGATATGGCAGTCTGCTTCTGTAAAAGATTTACAGCCTTGGAAACTCTATAGGGTAGTTCTACTCTGTCCTATAGGATCACTATGAGTTGGAATCAACTTGTCGGCAATGGGTATAAACTTTTATATTGTCTGAACTTTTAAAATAAGAAAGTATTAATGTATTACATACTTTTTAACTGAATACTGTTAAATGAAATAAAAATTCAGTCATGTGGCTGACAAAATGGCATCCTTGGTCAAGTGGACAATGCTCCTAAGACTTGTCTTTATCCAACCTTAAGCGAAGCTTTTGTGTATATCAGGCTACCCTAGTCAATCAAGGAAATTCTAACAGTGCTTCCATCCTCCTTGACCAATGAAGTCCTGACAGTGCTTCAATAGTAAATTGCGTAAGCCAATCAGAAATAAGCTTATTTTGCTTCTGAGTTTTGTCAATAAAAAGCTAGTCACTGCTGATACTCAGAAGATTACCTTTCCACTTTCAGTTTGATGTCACTTGATTAGAGATTGCTACTTTGCCCTAATAAATCTCATCCAATAGATTAATTTCATTATTGACTCAGTTTCTTTTGACAATACTTTCAACATCTTTATTGAGGTACAATTTACATACAATAAACTGCACGTACTTAAAGTGTACAGCTTGATAAGTTTCAATATCTATATTCATCATGAAACCATCATCACAGTTAAGATCACCAAACCAAAAACACCCAAACCCATTCCCAGGCAGTTGATTCCGAATACTGGCGACCGTATATGACCATCCAGTAGGGTTTCCAAAGCTATAAATTTTTACAGGAGCAGACTGCCACATCTTTCTTCCCCCAAAGCAGCTGATGGGTTCACACCTCCGACCTATTGGTTAGCAGCCAATCGTTTTAACTACCGCACCACCAGGGCTCCTTACAAAAGCAACATAGTGAATGTATTTGTCACTTTCAAAGTTTCCTCATGTTCCTTTGTAGTCTCTCTTCTTCCTTCTTGCCCCCCAAATTCCCAGGCAACTGTTGATCTGTTTTCCATCACTGTAGATTATTTTGTGTTTCTACAATATTATATAAATGGAATATTTTCTCTGGATTCTTTCACTCAACATAATTATTTTAAGGTTTACTCATATATAGTCATTTTGAGATTTATCTTTAATTTTTTTTTATTGTACTTTAGATGAAGGTTTACAGAACAAATAGTTTCTCATTAAACAGTCAGTACACATATTGTTTTATGACATTGGTTAAC